ATACTGATCATAATGTTGAACCATTTTGACAGACAGTTTTTTTTCCAATATTTGTCATTATTATTGATAAAATTAGATTATTTACTGACTTTGCGTGTATCTTCTCGAAAAGATTTCCTTCACGATCCTATACCAGATCTTTCACGATCCAATCGCAATACTTGACCACCGTTACTTATTCTTTCACGATCATTTTTCTCGATATACCGAATGACAGCCTTGATTATGTCAGCTTCTACTATAATCAAATCTATTAATGGATTTGCACCTCCGAATTTATAAGAAATATTTCAACATGTAAATATTTCAAATTACCAGTTACGTTCCATTAAAGTAAACTTACAGAAATGCATCCCCGGTGTAGTAATATTGGTACAGTTAATGTTATTACACCTGCCAAAATCAAACCATTTTTAGAAAGAAAAAAATTAAAAAAATCAGGAATAAATTGCCAACAGAAGTAAACTGTTGGAAAATCGTTGAAACAGTTTTAATAGCAATGTTATAATTTCGCATTTATGAGTAATCTGTGAATTTTTTGTGGAAGATTTTGTTGTTTAATGATAATATGAATGTTTTATTTGTGTAAAAAAAATACATTTATCTTATGTTGTGTAATGTATGTATTTTTGGGAGATTTTGAGGACCCACAGGAGAATAAGCTTTGGCAGATGAAGTTATCCTCTTGAATTATATACCTATACGGAGTATTTTTTGTTTAGAAAGATAGGTATTTCTTTTGAAGAAACAAGTCGAACGATACCAAGTTTCATTGAAATAAGATTCAAGGCATGACAAAAATTACTTGTGTAAGGTCATTATTTTCCCTGATTTAAATGCAGTTTGTTAAAACATTTGATTCATTTGAAAGTAGTCGTGTGTTGTTGCCAATTGGGGTTTACTGTGCAATTTTTAATCTGTAATAGTCTTTGAAGGGTTTGGGCAAATACACTTATTTCATCAATTCATTAGACTGAAATATTAGAAAACGTTGTAAACACATGCATCGAAACACATAATGTGATTTTTTTTTACTTTATTTTACATTAAAGTAAAATTGCATAAGATAAAATGAATAATGAAAAACTTTTCAAAAAACTTTGAAAACAAGCAAAATTTTATCCCATTCATGTGTATGATTATAAAAAAAAACAAATTTAAAGTACCAGTTTACAAATTAATTACATTTATATATACATATACCTGTTAGACTTTCAAATTACAAAATATTTTCATTTGCTAAAGGGGAACAGCCACGTAATTTAAAGTCATATGAAACTTAAATTTAAATATAAAAGTTGAATATTTTTTTTTATACTTGAAAAAATGGCTTACTATAAAAGTTTTACTATAACAAAAGTGTATGTGAACTTTCTGGTAAAAGAAAATCCTTTATAAATGTACTGCTATTGAATAATGGTCATTCCCGTACACTAATTCACCGATATTTTCCCATATGCATTGACCTTAACTTCGAGACCTCTCGTTAAAACTTCGTGCCACTGCACAGTGCAAGTGGGAGGGAAACCGTGATGGAAGAATGTAAACAAACGTGCACTTCATGGTTAAAAGTAATAACTGATTCTGAAAGAGCAAATTTAATACAAAATCATTTAAAACAAACTGTTAAGGAAAAGTTAAATTAACAAATGGGAACGCATGGAAAATATAAAAAAAATAAATATCATGGCGCTAAAAATTCACTTATTTGTCAGCTCCAATGCTCTGTATTGATTGTTTATCAATGTCACGATCCGGTAAACTTCGACAACAAACTCGAGAGTTAATTAGCTTGCGATCGACAATCACTGAATGAAATATAATATGTCGATAATACGATATAGATTCGTAATAAATATGAAAAAACGTGAATAAAGGACTTAGTTTAGTATATAGGCATGCATTGGCTCAATAATCTCGATAGCATTAAAATATGACTTTAATGAAAAGCGCTTCGGACGCATGAAATTTATAACGTGTTGTTTTCATTTTACCATCACTGGGTCGACACCTATGATGGTAAACTATCAGTCTCCGAGGGTATCATCAGCTCAGTAAGTCAGTACTTCGGTACTGACATGATTTATAACAATCCTTTCTAAAATTTTCCGTTTATAAATTTTGAAATTATAAACAAACTAAGGTTTCAACTCCCTCAGGCAAAGTTGACCTTAGATGTATTTGGCCATTTTTAGGTCCTTTTTGAATATATAGCTCTTCAACTAATACATCCTTGGCTTTCAAATATTTAAATCCAGAAAGTTCTGGTGAACCTTGTCTGACAGACATGTATACGTTACAAGGAACCCATATACCAAATATAGTTATCCTTTTATTCATAATTAATGAGAAATTCACATGACAAAACAAATGTAATTTTTGTCTCGCCTTTTCGTCGCAGTATGCGAGACACAGGTATTACTATCCAGCGGCGGCGTAAAATATTTGTATAAAGCTTTATATTTCAGAAGGTAGAAGACCTGGATGCTTCATACCTTGTATGCAGATACCTTATGTTACGAAGTTTCCGTCTGTCATATGCACATTGTCCTTGACCCCATTTTCATGGTTCAGCGACTGCTTGTACAGTTGTTTTGTCATGTGAATTTCTCACTTATTATGAGTAATGGTATAACTATATTTGGTATATGGGTTCCTTGCAACGTCTACATGTCCGTCAGACAGGGTTAACCTGACCTCGACCTCAATTCATGAATCAGTGGTTAAGGTTAAAGTTATGTGATTAGGTCCGTTTCTTAGATACTACAAGCAGAAGGTCAACTATATGTGGTGTATAAATGATTGTAAGGGGTACATGTCAGACTGACAAGTTTCATCTGACCTTTACCTCATTTTCATGGTTCATTGGTCATTGTTAATTATTTGTGTTTTGGTCTGTTTTGCAAGTACTGTAAGCAATAGGTCAACTATATTTGGTGTATGGAATGATTGTAAGGTGTACATGTCTGTCTAGCTGGTGTCATCTGACCTTGACCTTATTTTCATGGTTCATTGGTCAATGTTAAGTTTTTGTGTTTTGGTCTGTTTTCCAAGTACTACATGTATAAGCAATAGGTCATCTATTTTTGGTTTATGAAATGATTGTAAAGTGTACATGTCTGTCTAGCCGGTGTCATCTGACCTTGACCCCATTTTCATGGTTTATGGTCAGTGTTAAGTTTTTTTTGTTTTTATCCGTTTTTCAAATTCTAATAGCAATAGGTCAACTATAATTGGTGTATGGAATGATTGTAAGGTGTACATGTCTGTCTAGCCAGTATTATCTGACCTTGACCTCATTTTCATGGTTCATTGGTTAAAGTTAAGCTTTTGTGTTTTGGTCTGTTTTTCAATTACCATAAGCAATGGGTCAACAAAATTTGGTGTACGGAATAATTGTAAGGTGTACATGCCTGTGTGGCAGTTTTTATCTGAACTTGACCTCGTTGTCATGTCTCTTTAGAAATGTTAAGTTTATGTCATACTTGTAGAAAAGCCTTTATCTTTAAGACTTTCAACAGAAAATCAAGTCAGTAAAACAGGTGAGACATTTCAGCGTGTGCCCTCTTTTTTTTAAGCAGTCGCTGAAGCATGAAAATGAGGTCATGGACAATGGGCATACGCCGAAAACTTCGTAACATAAGGTATCTGCATACAAGGTATGAAGCATCTAGGTCTCATACATGATATACCTTCTTAAATGTAAAGCTTTATACAAATTGTTTACATCGCCACCTCCGCCGCCGCCGCCGGATAGTAATCTATATGTCTCGCATACTGCGACTTTTGTCGCAGGCGAGACAAAAATTACTTACCGAACTGATTTTTTTTTTCATTCACCATAACATTTTATAGTTTTTTGCTCTATCTTAATACATTTATATAGAAGTACGTGTTATCATTTATCAGCAAAACGTTCAGATTTTGGCTATTAAACCAGAAAAAGAAAAAGATAGTACAGCGAGTCATAGTGCCATACAAAAGCAGTGATAAGGTACCAATTTGATGACAGAGAAATAGACGCAATTAAGATTTCATTCCAAATCCACAACTACCAAACATCTTCTGGAAGTGTTACTGGAAAATTTGAAATAATGACACTTTTACTGTTTTATCAAAACTAATTGCTCTTTTTTAGAACAAGATAAAATATTTATTTATTACTTCTATGTCAATCAGATGTAATCGTCTCATATCTTCGGGGCTAATGCCCCTCATATATGAAAAGCTTACATTTAATACTTACATAGAAGTGTTATCATTTATCAGCAAAAAGTTCAGATTTAAGCAATTAACTAGTTACAATTAGAGCGAGTCATATAAGGTATCAATTTGATGACAGAGAAATAGACGCAATTAGTTTTACTGCATCTGACAATGACACTTTTCCTGTTTTATCAAAACTAATTGCTCTTTTTTTAAACAAGATTAAAGATAAAATATTTATTTAATACTTCTGTGTATATCAGATGTAATCGTTTCACACCAAAATTTAATTATTGGGCGTGGTTATATCTAAAGGCATAAAAAAAGAATATCCCACTTCGGTTAAACGGGATAACATTTTCTGTAAATTTTGCAGAAAATAATACCTTTTAATGGTACACAAGTCAGATAATGCAAATTAAGGTTTTTCTTGCCGTATAAATAACCTAAAACATGAAATTACTTAATTATTTATTAATTCATTTTAAAAATCTTTTATATTCTCCCAATAAAAGGACTTACAATGCCATTTCGTTGATATTGTCGCTGTCAAGTAATCAGTTTATACCGTTTAACACATCTTCCTCTTTAAAATTGCCTTTTTATTTATTTGGGTTTTTTTTAGCACTTGTTTGCCTCTTAAGAAAGAAACATTCTCGCAAGTCGTTTAACTGAAGTACAATACTTACATTCAACGGAAATGTGTAAATGTTTATCCCTATAAGATCTTAATACGAACTTTATATTTAATCCCGGACTTCCTAAAACATGCACATGATTCTTAGTGTGCGTCAGTTTGTTGTTGACTGTATTCTGCGAATGTCGTTAATATTTTCTTAGTTTTATTTTATCGATAAAAGAATTTAGAATAATAATGGCAACCTACGAAAATGTAAACCAAATTAGGGATCTTAGTCCAAACATGTTTAAATGCAATGCCAGCATTAAAAGTGATTCATTCGCCGTATCTAACGAAATCTATGGAGCATTGCTGTTGGAACCGACCATTCCATCCGTTATTTCAGACTATGAAGAAGTTAGCGATATAGACATGTCTTTGCCCACCGTTTGTGCTAATACAAAGAGTATTGCGAAACTACATCAACCAGCAGCTCAGTTAAAGAGGGATCGAGAAGAATTGGTAGTACCTGCTGATGTGTCTGTTGAAAGAAATCTGTCATATAATCAATTGACCAAACCGATCTGTTCTACTGGCCATATTGTGTATGAAGCAAGTGAACCGACTGTTTTATGTGTTAAGCCTTTATCTGAGGAATTTGAACAGACTATAGATAACAGCTTTAATGATTTGCCATCTATTACTTCGACTCCTTTCATAGCTGAAGGGTTCGAAAATCTTGATGATTTCTGGTTAGATCTTGCACAAGGACAAGCAATAAGGTCAAACATCAATCGCGAAGTGAATTGTACTAAGAATAAATCGTTCATATCCGAATCGAATTGGCGTTTTTCACAAACTTTGCCTTCAAATTCGGTAAGAAAGTCAGAAAACGATTTAGGTGATGGGTTTGTGAGAGAAACATGTTGGACATATTCTCCAAGTACAGCGATCAATTCGTTAAGTAGCTCGAACGAGTTTCATAAGAAAAATGATATCCTTATTCAATTGGATTATGAACAAGTACAAGATAATGTTCCACAGCAATCAAGCAGTAGACCAGAATCTAGAATGAATATCGAAGAAAGTCTATATGAATTAGCTAGACCGGAAACGTGTTTGAATAAACAAACGCACATGGGAGGCAAAACAGGATTAAATTATAGTCACGCAATGGAACATCCTTTTCTTATAGGAGAGATTTGTTTAACGTCAAAATATAATACAATCCAAAACGGTATTTATGAACTTTCTAATCCTCAAAAAGATTTAGACGAGTTTCGAACAACTTCTCTTGATCGAGCACAACAAAACAAAACATTTCTTCAAACTTTACATGATAATCAACTTTATGAATCTGTAGACAATTTATCTAAACGGTCAAAATTGCCTGTTCCATCTGATCCACTAGAAATGACTACAAAGTCCAAATTTTCAAAAACTCAAAATTCAAAAGACTATTATAGAACTGAAGAACCAGTATATGCAACAGTTGTTAAACCAATCACGAGAAGAATAGAGGAGATTCCAACTGATGCAAAGGTACTTAAAACGGACATCAAAAAGTTAGATGAATCTGCTGTAGATACCGATATAACTGAAAATGACGAATTCTTTTCACTTGCTTCTTCACGATTGAATACAACAAACACGATAATCCAGAAATCCGTAAGACCCGATAGTGGTCTAGGACTAAACTACACATATGCGAAAGTAAGTAAACCCAGACGCTACGAAAATTGGCCACTTACTAAATCAATTAAAAAACGAGTTGAAAACAGTGATAGTTTAGAAGATGAAAGCGGAGCACATAATATAGATTTTGTGTTCATAGATAGTAATTCTGATTATGCTACCCTTGAAAGTACGTTTAATGATAATTGTGCGACAGAGATTCAATGTGGTGCCGTATGCAAAGATTTTGATCCAGAAGACTATGATCATTATTCCACGATAGAAGAAATTGAACGACAAAGGTACAGACAAATAAATGATAAAACGACATCTGAAAAGCCTCCGATATTGACAAAATCTGAAAAGTCTAAGATATCTTTGAAAACAAGAATGAAAGGATTGATAACAAAGGTAACAAAAATGCAGTCGTCTCACCAGCATCAAAGGGAAAAGTCAGTATTTTATCCTTTTTCGTTTATTTATAATTTTCCGATAAGAATAAATGGTGAGGTGTCTGCTTCTGTAAAGACTATCCTACCAAATGTAAATGGAAAATGTTGGATTATCTGCAAAAACGATTTGAAGATCAGAATGTATGATTCCCAGGGTTCAGAAACTGAGTCCATATACATAGGACTCGAAGGAGAAGATATGGCATATGATAATAAAGGTTCTCTGTACGTTTCTTGCAAAGACACCAGAAGAATATTTAAAATTGACACAAGGAATTTATGTCAGGTATGTTAAGCTATGTAGATCTTTATAAGTCAATTTTCATGCTTTTTAGTGCAAAAAATTACAGAGACAATTGAAAATAACGGATATGTAAGTAGACTCCAGTTTCAAATCCTAATATGAAACACTTAAATACCTAGGATATTTTAAGGACTGTCCAAAATTATGAAAAGATACAAAAGGGTAATTTAAAACCATATAACACCATTACCATCGCCCAAAGAAAACAAAACCGGAATAGGAAAATGATATTCAACAACACATACTGGAGGCTCTACTGTGCATTTTCATAAATAGTCATTATGGTTCTTTTGCATGTATTCACTAAAATAAAAAAAAATTTAAAACTACAATTATACATGGCATATTGTGTCATTTGCAACTATCTATGTACGAAAAAGTATCGGCAGGGATTAAACCGCTGGTCTTTGAGCAAGAAATTCAAAAAAATGGAAACTGAAAGGAGTAGCCTTTTATCAAACAAAGTTGGGTAACTGGAAAAATATCTAATCGTGTCTGTAATATCAAAGGGAGGTATGTTTTTGGATTATTTGGTCCGGTTAATTGAATAAACAATTTGAATAATAGGTGACATTTTGAACATGATAAATATTGGTATTTCTTTGAATGTAAAATTTTACAACAATATTTAATGAGGAATGACCATTATATACATACACAATATACCCTCGTTAGGTTAAATGAGGACTGAAAATGTAGGAGAAACTGTTACTTCATTGAATTATCTCTCATCAAATGGATATAAAATGGCCAGGAGTATGTCCTCTTAGGAATAAACTGATAATGTTTTCCTTTGCTATACTTTTTGTCTTTTTGGTTTGATGAGCTCTTTAATGTTTGAATAAGTTTCGGATTTTGAAATATTGCGTCCGCGAGCATCATTGAAAAGACATTTATTGTCGAAATTCCCATCTGGTGCAGTTCAAGTCATATTAAAACATTAAAATGTTATGAAAATAACCATACAATTATAACCAACATATCAGATATGTATCATGAAAGAAGATGCAAAACGGGGACAAAACCACTTATCTTAATGAAATTGTCAGTTAATTGCCAATGATTGGGTCAAACGTAGGTCAATCAACACGAGTTTATATGTTATATGTAACTAACTATTACACAGTTGCAAAGTAACTATCAGTTTTAATATCAGCTAAGACGGATATGAAAATTGTTATGTTAATAGATGTCCTTGATTAAATTTCCATAAATAGGTCAAAGAACGTTAAGTAGAAGGAAACTCATATGCAATCTGTATCTCGATATTTTAGTTATAAGCCAAATTTCAGCTTCATATATCTATGTAACACAGGCTGTAGAATCGAAGCAATGTAATTGTTTATTAATGCCATAATTGTGTCAATAGTAGGCCATTTGGAACAATATGGCATTTTACACCTTTGTAGTAACATGTTAAAATATTACAAAAACAATCGATGTTCTTAATTAGGGTGAAATTATGACATAGTGAAATGATTGACCAACTTAGTTAACTGAAAATGGCGATGTGGAATTAATTTCTTATTTGACTTTATTCATTGATCCTTTTGATTTCAGGGGAGACAAAAGTGGTTAGATCCGTTTCGTTTTTGTCGAGCCTGCGACTTTTTCGCAGAAAGCTCGACATAGGGATAGTGATCCGGCGGCGGCGGCTACGGCGGCGGTGGCGTTAGCTAACTTCTTAAAAGCTTTATATTTTAGAAGGTGGAAGACATGGATGCTTCATACTTTGTATATAGATGCCTTATGTTACGAAGTTTCCATCTGTCACATGTCCATTGTCCTTGACCTCATTTTCATGGTTCAGTGACTACTTGAAAAAAAAGTTAAGATTTTTTGTAATGTTAATTTCTCTCTTATTATGAGTAATAGGATAACTATATTTGGTATGTGTGTACCTTGCAAGGTCCTCATGCCCGTCAGACAGTTTTCACTTGACCTCGACCTCGTTTTATGGATCAATGAACAAGGTTAAGTTTTGGTGGTCAAGTCCATATCTCAGATACTAGAAGCAATAGGTCTAGCATATTCGGTGTATGGAAGGACTGTAAGGTGTACATGTCCAACTGGCAGGTGTCATCTGACCTTGACCTCATTTTCATGGTTCAGTGGTTATAGTTAAGTTTTTGTGTTATGGTCTGTTTTTCTTATACTGTACGCAATAGGTCTACTATAATTGGTGTATAGAATGATTTAAGGTGTACATGTCTAGCTGGCAGGTGTCTTCTAACCTTGACCTCATTTTCATGGTTCAGTGGTCAAAGTTAAGTTTTTGAGTTTTGGTCTTTTTTTCTAATACTATATGCAATAGGTCATCTATATTTGGTGTATGGAAATATTTTATGATGTACATGTCAGTCTTGCAGGTTTTATTTGACCTTGACCTCATTTTCACGGTTCATTGCTCAGTGTTAAGTTTTTGTGATTTGGTCTGTTTTTCTAATACTATAAGCAATAGGTCAACTATATTTGTTTTATGGAAGGATTGCAAGCTGTACATGTCTGCCTGGCATTGTTCATCTGACCTTGACCTCATTTTCATGGTTCATTGGTCAATGTTTAGTTTTCTTGGTTAAGTCTGTATCTTAGAACCTATAAACAATAGGTCAACTATAATTATTGTATTGAATGATTGTAAGGTGTACATATATTTCTTATTTGGTTTATATGACCTTGACCTCATTTTCTTGGATCATGTTAAGTGTATGTGATAGTTGTAGTAAAGCTTTATATTTAGGACTATGAACATAATATCAATGATTAGAGAAGAAGGCGAGACATTTCAGCGTGTGCACTCTTGTTATAACTTTTCCCTGACTATTCTCGTAGAAGATAATGTTGAAAACAAATTAACATTTGATAGAAAATTTGCTCTTTGGCGCAACAGATTTTTAATGAATTGCAGTAGTTCAAATAGGCACTGTTTTTAATTTTTTAATTAAAAAATATTAAAATTTCAGGCGACATTGTTGATGAGAAGTACTCGAGTTTAAAACAAATGGGAAGGTAAACTCCAATTCCTATATCGTAATGTCATACTATACTGAACAATGGTGCTTCATTAGTTTCAAAATGATTATGGTTAATTTTGTAATTTTACGTTACTAATATGACCTTTTTTTTATTTTTGTCAGATATCAGCTTTTGTCGACTGTGACTTTTTCCCCCTCGGACTAGCATTTGACATACTTGATAATACATTAATAGTCTGTCAGAATCAACAAACGTTTGATATACCAATAGGTGTTGCTTCTGTTGATTGCATAAAGAAATATTCAGTCTCTGAAACGCTGGATGTTAGAAATCTGACACACGAAATTTTGTTTTCTCATCCACTTCGAGTCTTAAAAAATTCTAACACTGATATAGTCGTATCTGATCCAGAAACAAAATCGATCACCATGCTGAATCGGAACGGTATACAGAAAAACAGGTTTTCAGGAAATGACATCTTCAAAATGGAATGCCATCATACATTTGTCTGTGATTTACAAGGCAACATTCTCATATATTCTCAAAATATAAGTAAGCCTTCAAATAAAAACTTGGATAACGTGTGTCTTCTAGACCAGAGTGGAGATTTCATAGATACATTCAATATTGAGGAAGTGCAAGATAAAACTGTAAACTCGTTGGCATTAACAGATCTTGGCTTTTTGTGGATTGGTTGTGACGAAGGAATATTTATCTTTGATTATCAAATAATATAACATTTGAAGTAGTTCTTTAATTCTTGATTTGCATTAATTTCTTATTTTATTTTGAATTATACTTGTACCTGAGAGTATTTTTGCTCAGTATTTCAGTAAAAAGGAACACATCTTACGACAATTAAAATGTTATTTTATCATTTCCACAACAACTTAGATAACGACATGATTACTGCTCATTGATTATTGTAAAAATAATATTTACAAAAGCGTCTACATATGGAGAGTGAATAGATGTACTTCTGATTCAGATCACAGATAGGGGAAATAGTTTCGATAAGCATTCGAACGATTTATAGGTTTATCCCTTTATACATGTTGGTCGGACGTCAATTATTTCCATTCAATTCAACGTTAATACAATATTGGAATAAAAAAAGTTAAGTTATTAAGTATCAGCCGCATGGGGGGAAATATTTTTTTATCTCAAAATCTTCTTCTACTTGGTGTCCATATGTGTCAAATGCTTTTACTGGAGAGATAGGGATAAGCGTCAGTGAGACTACAACGCAATACAATTAAACATAACTAAATGCAATTAAAAACCAATTGTTCAGAGCACAATCTAAGGTCTTTCAAACACTTATACACACATTTTGATACGAAAATGTTAACTTCCGGTTTAAAATGTCATTTCAAATGTCAGACCATAGCTTGCTTTCGCTGATTCAAAAATATATAGTGTTTATATACTTTTGCTTGAATTAAGAGTGATAAGATGCTACTTCTTGTTAGAGAAATGTCATTTCCGGTTTAACATGATAAGTTATTTGACACTGAATCCAAAATATATGGTATTCTAGATACTTTAACATTAAATTAGTGCAAAAATGGCTGGTTCTGGGTAACATAAGGTTTCTTCCGGTTAAGATTTTAAGGTTATATATATCCTTCCTAATGCAAAAGACCCTATGTCTTAATCGTGTATTTATATGAAGTTATAACAAAGGTCAAAATATAGAATGTCAAATTTACCTGTGAATATGGCCTCAATTTCAAGGTCATTAGACAACATTCGCAAATCGAAAGATCAGAGGTCTCCATGTACAGATTATGGATTATCTTATATAGCTTATTTCAAACATTCCAGGGAAGAAAACTATAAATTGTCGCTGTACTATTTAGATTTGAAAGTGTTGCAGTTACGACATAATGCAAATAACAATTGGAAAAAAAAACTGTTTTCGGTATCATTTATTGTTTCTTGATAATAAGCAATAATAAGCAATGGTCAAAATTTAGAACATGAACTTGACTTATGATCTTCACCTCTTCTTTTTTTTGGTAGTTCTTGGACCTTAAACCAAACGACCCTAGGTATCTTTAACGGTAAGAGTTTACAAGACTTCTTTTTAGTTACAATTACATTTCAAATATGTTGAATACATTAAGGAAAATAACTCTCATGTGGAGTCTCCAGCTCACTTAGGTAAAAATGACAATATCTTGAGGATATAACGAGCAATTTGGAAAAACAAATTTGTTGGTTTCTTTTACGATTGCAGAGGAGTAGCGGCAGCAAGAAAAATAGTATTCAGGGAAATGACTCTTACAAAAAAGAATCCTGTTAAAAAGGGTGAGGTTCAGAAGTGCAATAACTGTTCGATATTATATACCAAATATCAAAGCAACATCTTGCAAAGCCCAAATTAATATGCAAGAAATTAGATTCGAGGAAGGAAAATAGTAATAATTGAAGGTCTTTCTACATTAAATTTTCAAAATAATTGATAAGAAGCTACTTCCAGTTAACTCGAATTTACTATTGGCGTCCAATCATAGGTTTTTTCATACTGATTCAAAAAGTTGTTTCTTTATACTTTTGTCTGAAATAAGGGAGATAATTTGCTACTTCCGGTTCAGAAAATGTCTTTTCTGGCCTCATAGGATAGCTTTATTTACACTGATTCCAAATATATTTGGTTTCTTTACACTTAAGCCTTGAATAAGAGAGATAGTCGGACACTTCCGGTTTACAGAAGTTCACATTTGGTTCCATAGAATAGCATACTTAAAACCGATTCCGAAAATATATGGGTTCTGTATATTTTTTTTTTCAAATAAGGGAGATATAAAGCTACTTCCTGTTCACAAAAGGTGACTTCCGGTGTCATTTAAAGATTACAGTATGCTGATTGTAAGTATTTTTCCCTTTCATTAGTGCAAATAAAGCTACTTCTGGTCTGCTTAAGGTCATTTCCGGTTGATATTTTTAAGATCATTTGTAACCCAACCTTTTGCAAACTACCCTATGGCTTTATCATGTACCAGAATGAAGTAATACTCAATTTACCTTAAATTTTAGTATTTATGGGGCAATTTCTCCTTTTAGATATTATCAGATCGTATTGGACTGAATGTACCATCTCTTGTTTTCAACAACCAAAACAAAAGGGGAAACAACTCTCATATGGAGTGTCAGTATCGCTTTGGTTGGGTTGTTGAAATTTACTGGAGCATCCTGAGGATTTAACGAGCAATTTGGAAAAATAAATTTGTCGATTTCTTTTACGGTTGCAAAGGAGACGTGCACACAAGATAAACTGTGTTCGGGGAGATAACTCTTCCAATGAAAAATGTTCGGTTTAGAAGGGTCAAAATGAAAAACACATAAACTGTATGATAACATATACCAAATATCTAAGCGACATGTTGTGAAACAAAAATTACACGCAAGAAAAAATATGGCAGAAGAAAAAAAAATAATGATCAAAACAAAATCAAAAGGTCTTTCCACAGGCACTTATTTCAGAAAAAAAATTCTTATATTCCTTAATATAACACAAGGTACTTAACTCTCATTTTTTTTAAATGTCACCCGGTCGCGAAATTCCATTATATTTCGATTTCTCGGTTGTCAACCCCACTAAAACTTGTTATGCCGTAAATCTAAATTGATTTATTCACACAATGGTGTATAACACGCCTACCTTTTTTGTCGGAATCATTCGTAGCAGGCCTACCAAAGTATGTCAACCGTAATTATTTCAACAAAAGGTCACTTCCAGTTGACCTTCTTCAAGGTCATATATCTGCAACCCAATGTAAAATACTCTTTGACTTTGTCATGTGCCAATAAGAAGTTACAACAAAGTTCAAAATCTAGAACATCAAATTAAACTTCGACTTTGACCTCAATTTCAAGGTTATAAAGCAGGGGCCTCAAATCAAAATACCCTAGGTCTCTACTATCTATGGTTAATGAATTATATCACCTTACAGCTAATTTTAGATAAAAGAGAAGAGAAACTCCCATTAAATGTTAACTTATCCTTTCAACTAAAATTCATATGTTACGACATGTCTTAGCTAATAATTTAATAAAATACATTTGGTCGATATCTTATACGATTTCTGTGGAGAAACCAAAATCTAAATTTAGAACATGACCTTATCCTTTGACCTTGACTACATTTTTTTATGATTAAATTCAAAACGATTTTTCATCCGGACACATATCTAAGGTGTGGTCCCAAGCTTGCAGCCTGTATTTCATCCTTGTTATATGTTTTTATATGTTTTCCCCATTTGAAAATAGTGTTGGTAAATATTGTTTCAATTGTTAAAGATCGGAGCATGGGCCGCATTTATTGCCTACTGAAAACGTACATTTACATAAACAAAACCGTATGCTGATTTCAAAAATATTTCTTGTTGTAAAACTTCGGTTGTTGGTGTGATCTCTCATACGATTAACTCAACATTTCCTTTTTTTTTTGTGTAAAATATTGAGGATCCGATCCGTGTATGGATCTAGTTATATATATATAATTCAATATACAACGTTTAATGTCTAAATATGTTAACATGCAGTGTTGCATCAATGTCTCAAAAATAGAACACTGTAAAAGACCAACTGTGTAAATTCCTAGTATTTCATGCTGTAAGGTCCCTCCTTAACAAGCAGTTGTTTATGTGCTGATCCTATAATAACCCATATTCTCAGGGTTTTTTATGTCTCGACTCGACAAAGTCGCGGAGTCGAGAGTTGTATGTGTTGTTTCTAGCAACGGCGGCGTCAACATTTTTCTAAAGTTTGTGATTATGTCATTTGAAGAGAACAACTAATGGCAAGTCAATGATATTTGGTTTGCATTTGTATTAACATTAGCACATCTCATTTCCATGGAATTTTAATATGACCCAGTATATTCCACTGTGTATCATCGCCACCGGAAATTGGGTACTAACGAAGCGGAGAGAAATGGAAAAAAAAGTAAACAAGGTAAGAATTCATTCGATTTAAAGCATTTCTACTGATTTGACGAGGGTACCGCTTAAGAAATGATTTTCTGATATATAATTCTTTAAATTATTAGGCCGATAAGTACAAAATTAAGACAATATTTTGTGTTATACTCCAAAGCTAGCCACTTAGTACCTGAAAATTTCGAGGTCGATTGTCCTCTGTCGCCCCATTGGCAAGATATTCAACTGTTTTTCATTATTTTTCCAGATACGTTTTTAGATTATGATAGTGTGACATCGTATTGACTGAAATCTGTTGTCATAAAGATGTTTTTAAAGAATATGGACCAAAACATTGTTTGTTTATTGTACGGCGAATTGCAGGACGTTGTACGGCGAATTGCAAAAATAACAACTTTTGTCTATACGGCGTCTTGCAATATATTGTAATTTTAAGATGAAATTAATCACTGTTTAGATAATATCAAGTGACGAAATTTTGGCTGTATCAAAGCTTTACCGGCTTACAAATATACAAAATAAACTACTTATCAAATATTATAAAATATATGCCGTTAATTTCGTTCAGAAGTCGTCGTTGCGTACCTCTGTTTGACTTTGTGTTTTTAAAGACAAAAAGGTTTTTTTCAACCATATTATCCTAAATACATTCATATATTGTTATAATACTAACGACTGTTGTCTTATTTGTTGTCAGGGTGAAATTTTGTAAGTTCAATAAAATAAACCGACCATTCATCTTTTGTTGTTGCTGGTTTTTTTTTTAATATAAACAGTGGAGATGTTGTAAGATTGCAAATAAGATAACTATCCACCAGGGTCAAATAAAGTGTATGTAAGCAATTATATGCTATCGTTTGGCCTTCAACAACGAAAAATCGTACCTTACAGTCGGCTATAAAAAGCCCCGACATGAAACTTGTGGAAGGATTCAACAAGAAAACTAACGGCCTAACTCATAACAAAACAATTTACGAAAAATAACAAATATGATAGAGATGAACCAACGACAACCACCAAACTACAGGCTCGTGGCTTCGGACAGACACATAAAGAATGTGCTGGGTTAAATAGATATAGGAAGATGTGGTATGAGTGCCAATGAGACAACTCTTCATCCAAGTCACAATTTATAAAAGTAAACCATTATAGGTCAAGGTACGGTCTTCAACATTGTTTATTGTTTATTTTTTAAATTTCTGAAATGAATAATTTGTTAAAAGAAGAGTGAAGAAAATACTTTGTTTTCATTGAAAATTAGGAGAAATAAATCATGAATTGTGTTTCGAATTAATTTTCTTGTTTCTTATTGAAAATAAGATTGCATTTTTTTTTAGTTTAAGTAAATTCAATCAATCTTTTTATTTACAGGGAAAAAATAATAAAAGACTGTTGCTAAGGCTGTTTGGCTTAAACTTAAAGGAGTAGATGGAGGGGTAGTGAAAAAGGAGTGTATTCGTCCGAATTTTCATTGTTACAGTAGTACATTTTCATGATTACTATGTATAATATTTCTCAGTAAATTGTTTATGTGATATTGTCCCAATTAAAATTATATAATTAATACAAGTAAGACTTGCATTTGCCTTAAAAGATATAGCAGTACGTGATTATTTGTTTTCAAACACACCTTCTCTGTTTTGAAACTTAACAAGGTATGGATCTCCATAGGCGGATCCAGGGGGGGGGGGGGGGGGGGGGGGGGCAGTGATTCCCTATATAATCAACCATGAAAAATTTGGTTGATTATATAGGGAATCACTGAAGCATGACTGGAGCCCCCCCCCCCCCCCCCCCCCCCCCCCCCCTTTTATGAAAAGTTCTGGATCCGCCACTGATCTCGGTCTATCTGTTTGGTTGAATATAAATTTGAATTCATAGAGTTTCAAAATCAACAGTAAGCCTATTTGTGTGTGTGTGTGTAAATAATCTAATCTTTAGATAGATGCTTAAATTAAAATCATTTTTCTTAATAAGAAGAAAAAAGTGCAACTTAAGCACGCCGGAATGTAAAAAGGTGTTCCCGACTTACCGATTTTACCGATTTCGGTATTTTAACAAAACTGTTTACGAGGGCGAATAAATAATTGAACGCTATCAAATCAACATTTAAATTTACGTGGATTTTTCCAAAAGAATTTATGAGTATGCACCATCAGGATTCAAAAATATTTCAACCTGTCCTTATAAGTTGTTATTTCATTATAATTCTTTAAATTTACAAGTCGAAGATGCTAGCTTTTGTTAATTGTATTAATAAGTATATAATATTAAGATGACAACCAAAAAAAACTTCATACAATGTCATCTTTATTCTCAAGTACATGTAGAAAGTTTATATAAATAGTTTATGCCGTAGCCACAGCCGGATTTGTATCCCTTGTATCGGATTCTTCTTTCATTCTTTCCAAAAATGATTAATCTAAGGTTAATATTTTTTTTGAATTTAAACAGTGTAAGCCACCGAGCTTGTTCATTTCTTACTATATAGAGATGAAGTTTTTTTTTAGAAAATTAATGTTCTTTATTCTAATATATTGGCTGTATCTGCCTTTTACAAATAAGACAATAACATTAATTGAAAAAGGAGACGTGGAACGGTTTTCACTGAGAGGACTTTCAAACAAAGTCCAAATGAAATAGATTTGACCAACTATTGGTTACTATACACTTCACAATGAACAAAACCCATACCGTATCAAAATTGCCTGATTTATGACAAAATCATAAACAAATATGTCAGGCAGCAACTAACGACAGCCGCTATATTACATGTTCCTGACCAGGGGGACAGACACATATATATTGAGGCGGGCTTAAACATGTTTGTGAGCACTCAAACCTCCCTTAACATGGTGCCGTGGTGTAGCAATACAATTTTTTTTTTGCAGAGAATGATAATTCATTTATATTTCATTTTATCTGAAAGTTGAAAGAGAATTCATTCACTTAATGGTTCTAAATATTCAATGCGGAAAAATTCTCCTGCCATTACCTCCTTCCTTCCCTCCACCCACAACCCATCCCCGAAATGTTCATCACTTATATGCAAATGCTGACTAATGTTGTATGGTTAAAACATTTGGTTGAGGCAATCTAAAGTTTGAGAACAGAAACGACAGCTTTAGCTTTTTTTCATTTATCAAAGGGCATAACTCAAGAACGGTAACAGTGACGCTACCCAATTTATAACTTGATCTGTGTTTTGTGGTGATAAGCATTTCGTGTAAGTTTTAAAACATTTGGTTAAGGCATACTAAAGTTAGAGAACGGAAACCAATTATTGGGACTTTCTGGACGGACGAGAGAGAGGGGTCGGACGGACATGGGTAACATTTAACGCTACGTCAGGGCAGAACAACAGGTTAGTAAAACAGTGACATGCCTTTCCGAAAGTTACAACATTTGCCAGCTTTTGTATATGCCGTATTCATATTGTATACATCAGGTACGTGTATGTAAAAGATGTAATAAGACTGTGTTCAAGCCTTATATTGTGTATACATCTTAAATGGTGTCAAGCGAATTGTATTTTTATCAAATGCATAATTAGATATTTGAACCTAATACTTTATTTTCTTTAAAAAGACGGCAAATAAATATTTTGAAATTAGCAAGTTGCCATACAGTTGAAAAAAAGTTGCCATACAGTAAATTTGTCAACATGAGCAAGTTGCCGTACCCTAGACTTTATTTTTTATGGTCTATATTCCTTAAAAACGTTCATTTTGACAACAAATTTCAGAAAATATGATACCACACTATAATAATCTAAAAAAGTGTCTGGAAAAATAATGAAAAACAGTTGAATATCTTGCCAATGGGGCGACAGAGGACGATCGACCTCGAAATATTCAGGTACTAAGTGGCAAGTTCTTGAGTATAACACAAAATCTTGTCTTAATTTTGTACTTATCGGCCTAATAATTTAAAGAATTATATATCAGAAAATCATTTCTTAAGCGGTACCCACGTCAAATCAGTAGAAATGCTTTAAATTGAATGAATTCTTACCTTGTTTACTTTTTTTTCCATTTCTCTCCGCTTCGTTAGTACCCAATTTCCGGTGGCGATGATACACAGTGTATTCCCAAGTAATGGTTAATTGCCTTTGAAAGTTTTACATAAGTTTAAATTTTAAATTCAGTGATAAGGTCAGTGTAAGGGAAAGTCCACTTCTAACAAGGCATTGATATGTTGTATGCAGTTGTGTAAGCATTTTAAATTAGTATTGTTCATTCCAAAGGAGATTATGTCTCCCTGCACCTATAGTCAGTGTTCATTTACTTTGAAAGATTGGCAACATTTACATGTTTAGATTTTGACATTTTAATTTGAACGTTTGAATTTATACTATCAAAATTACATACAGTCGAGACAAAATACCACATGTTTAACAAAATGTCAGTTAGTTTCCTATCAACTGGGACTTTCTTGATAAATGCCTAATCGAAAAAGCTATGCAAGATACATATACATCTCAATATAGTTGTTCAGACTTTTTTGAAATTTCAAATAAGTCAAAACTGTGAAATTATTCATTAAAAGATACTGCATAAGTATTTACATCATTCACACTACTAAAAATATTTAAAGATTTTTTTTTCTTTCACACGGCTGAACAAAATTTCGCGGGGTACATTATTTTGAATAAGTTGCGAAGGTGTGGAACTACTTAGAGTCAATCAACAAGTTCTTCCTCTGTTTTTGATTTGCGGTTTCTCACTACTTTGTCTTTAACCTTATCGAGAAAACTCTTTCTTTTGAAAGTATATCGATTCAATTCAGACATTTTCAGCCATATAGAGTTATCACGCTTTATATCGTATCCGGCTTTCATTAGTTTTCGTACAATAACAGATGACGGATTCTTGCAGCAACGAATAGCAATGTAGAGTGTTGACTGTCCAAGTTTGTCTACAAGGTTCACGTCACATTTGTGTTTTATAAGATATGAACAACATTCTACTCGTCCTTCTTGCAGACCTATTAGCAGGGCCGTCTTTCCAGTGCAGTCCGTTACGTTTAGGTCAGCACCTGTAATGTACACATTGATGTATTTGTTTTGTAAAAAAATAATGTCCTATATTCAATATTTATTTATAAGATAATCGATTGAAAAACAAAATATAAATTATGACACCATGAATGTTTCATATAGACAACAGAAATTAATCTGCGAAATAAATAATGTAAAATAATGTAAAAACACGGCCTTTCAACTTCAAACTTGTTGGATAATTCTTCCCTGTAGTCTAAGTGATATCTACAGAGAAGTTATAGTAAATTCTGCATACATGTAGCTCTTATGTATTTAGTTCAAATTAAGCGATAGTCTTTCCATCTCAAAACACTATACTTCCTTGTGACTTGTGCTGTAAAAATCAACATAGTACCCTTAATTACATACATGTATTAGAGCAGCTATGCGTAGGAACTATATTGTGTTAAATATGTACAAATGTACTACATTCGGTTATCCCAAAGCCCTAAGACCATTATATGGACTGGTAACGCGTTTAATAAAACTTGTTTCTCCTGTATTTAGTTCTTTTAAAAAAAATTGTGTACTAACTTTGAGGTGGTTTCACCATTGTGATTATAACGCCGCGTATAAAAGCTAAATACAATGTACTTTGGTTTTGATAATATTGGGTAAACGTTTGAGAATTTGTCTTTATAATAAATAGAAAGGACTTATCCAAACCTAGAAAACAAATCTATGAAAAGTTTGATCATGTATTACACGATACAAATTAATTAAATTTGGTTCTAGAATTCTTCGAGCGATGCAATAAAGCATACCATGGTGGACTTACTTTTCAATTTTACTTTTTATTCAAGGAAAAAGGGCGCTTGATTTGTTATCTATTACGATGCTAATTTCGTTACTATTTAAGTAAACGTCTTGAATATAGCGATAACACCTGAATACTACAAGGTTGAAATCTTTTGACAGTTATCATAAAAGATAAATTCATTAACCTCAAATCATTACAAACTATATAGGGACTATTTGCTGATGTGCATAAAATAGCACAAATAATTATCATATTCCGTAAATTTTTTATGCTATTCCGAAAAAAACTCTGCATCTTGCCATTAGTCATACTTTGCTGGTACATTTAAACGAATAGCAGTCAGGCCCGAGTACAAGACAACTAGGAAATTCTATAAAATCATAACTCAGATCGCCTATAGAGACAAGTCCTACAGACAATGGTGTATTTTGTTAACCGATTTCAAGAAACATATATTCCAAAAGACAATTTGGACCTTCTATGGAGACAACTAGGACAGTCAATAGAGTCAACTCAGTCCATACAACCTTCAACATTTAGAAAACCACCAGTTACCGACACGACAAAGTGTGAACAAATTTAAAAGAGAAAACCAGCGAACTGATTTATGATAAAACAATAAACCCCCAAAAAATATTGCATGCCGCAATCAACGACAACCACATAATTACAGCCTCCTGACTTGGCATATTCATGTCATACAGAATGTGGCTGAGAACTATGGTGTAACAGCAATACATACAAAAAATTGTAAAAATCAGTTGGAAATAGTTTGACTGATCAGATCGACACAAAGCACAAAAACAACTAACAAAAATACAAAAGAGACAAAGCACTTTTCTAAGAGAGCTCACAGTTACTTAAAGCCAGTTAAAGCTAATTACAACTTACAAATAAATCATGGTTTACAAGACTTTGAATATCAGTCCGAACATATCCAAAGGATTGAGTATAAAGAGATCATTAACAGCAAGATAATAGCACAGCCTAGTGTAATGCTAAAACATAAGCACGGACAGGATGTAGACCAATGATTATTCGCAACTGTATAGCAATACTTATTAAGTTATGCTTTATTTCAATACAAACAAAATAAATTTTAGTAAAATTAATTTTTATTTCTTATATGACATATAGAATAAATCATTTACTATCTGAAACTACTTTATATGTCTAAACCGGCGCGGGACGTCTAAACACAGATTTATTCCATTACACTATAATGAGACCAACTTAATTGTAATACAGAAGATGTGGCATGATTGCCAAAGAGACAACTCTCCACCAATTACCAAATGACGTAGAAATTATCTACTGGAGATGAACTTTTTTTTTCATAAATCAGGCCGTTATTGTTTTCGTTTGAAAAGTTTCACATTTTGTTTAAGACTGACTGTACGGTATGGTTTTGCACATCGTTACGATGCATTAAAAAGTGTGCAGTAAGAATATAATGAATCGAATTGGTATTGACTATGTATTCTAAACAACTTACCTGAATGATGCAACAGCTTTACAACATCAATATCGTCATATAATACAGCTCTCATCAACGGAGTCTGGCCCAATATGTTCTTAGCATTTATATCTGCTCCTGAAAAATCGATCATTTCATTTTGTTTATAAATATAAAAACAACATGCAATAGCTTATAAAAATCAACATATCTAGAACATGTAGAACCAATACCAGAAAGTTATAATAATCTCAATCTGTGGAATTACATAATTTTAAGGATCTATACTGACTTTGATTTACATGGTTTGATACCGAAAAGTTTACGAAAAAACATTTAGTACTTAACCGCATACGGCCAAACGCAATGGGGTTGGTGGGCAAAGGGGCCATCTCGGAATGCGACGGGGGTTTTAGCCAAAGGAAAAGTACTACATTAATTACGGAAAGTATGGTGTATGGATATAAGGCGTCTCGTAAAACTGAAAGATATAAAGCAAAAGTAGACAGTACTACATAGTTTACTGCAAGATTTGTCTAAATTATTAAGGCATAGTACCACTTAAATTACCGTTAGTATAGGCAACGTCCTATATAATAACACTAACATCATACCGGGTTATAAAGAGTCAGAACCACGAACCACATAAATACTGAGAGGTTGTTTGTGTGTCAACGTATATTTGGTCCGCATACCAGAAGGTCTGCATGGAAGCATAACTTTGTTATAAACAATGTCATTATATCTGTTCCTGTTGGAACAAAAAATCTATATCCTTTATTCCGTTAGAAACATATACTGCAGTATTTGTTCCAGTGGAAATAATATTCCAGAATATTTATTCCAACTGGAACTTATATTATGAAAGAACTTCTATTTCATGACATGTGTATGTGTTTGTGGTTTTTTTCACGGGTTGGTGTGTCCTTTGTTTTTTATATTGCTGGGTTTCTGTGATTGACAATTTTGTTAACATCCAAAATTGATGTCGTTTAACCAAACTTCGTTAAATTGGCGACAGAAACATTGTTAGTTTTCGTTTTCTATCGTCATTTATACAAACGTTGGTAATATGTCCACGAAGTGACCTTTAATACACATACGAATTGCCACGACACAAAGTTTCAAGCTTCACAATGACAGAAAGAAAGTAATATTACATGAATAATTCAGATCCTCAGATTTAAAATGAAATCGAGCGTTCGGGCAATAAATAATCCAAATGAAAACCATCAACTAATATAAATACTCTGACCTCAGTATGCTGACCTTAAACCTATTAATTACATATTTCCTTTGTGTGATTTGCCAATGTAGACGCGTGACAGATTTAGTCTTAACCGCAGATCATTTATATTAAATAATAACCCTAGATAACATAAATTATACAAATTAACAGTAGAGTAACAAGTTTAGGCTTTATACAATTGAAAATGTCATTGATTAAATGATTGCTTATAATATCGAGTGGTGAATAGTTCACACATAACTAGGACCTATAGGTCGTTGCAGTATTGAAATAAAACATGATGTAAAATTATAATATTATTATACAAAATAATTGGGCATAAGGGCAATACGTTATGTAACAGAAACTTTACTGGCGTCTTAAAATGAAAAGCTGTCATGTAATCATTACGAAATAATTATACTTAATTATTCGAGCAGTGCACATGGAACACTGTGTGAATGCATGAGAATATTTTTTCTCGTGGCATATAATTCACTGAGTTCTCAAAAAAACAAATGGATATTTTTGCAATTTCAAGAAGAGATTTTATATGAATTTATAGGGTTGTTCTCATCGCAATAGATTTTTTTCATATTTAACCCTATGCGTTCATATAAAATCTCTTCTTGAAATTTCAAAAATATACATTTTATATGAATTTGGTTAAATATACTTACCATGAAAATACTATTTATATATAGAATATAAACTGATTAACAAGCAGTGTGTTTATTTTGGTTGAGCATAAATATTTTTTCCCCACACAAATAGAGCATTTTATTTGGATTTAATTGCATACAATCTTATGTCCAAAGATGTCACATTGAAAAAGGAAACACGGGAAACACGGCCCACAATTTTTTTTTCTTTTACAGGTATGACGATGAAATATTCTTATTTTTAATCTATAACATGAAATCAAACAGACCTCGAAAAATCGTTATTATACTATTGCACGTGCTTGACTGTCTATTTATATTTTCATTTATGTTTACCAGTATATTGGATCGACAGTGTCTTCAAATTAAATGGTGTATAGTCGAAAATACGCACGCAATGCTGATACGTTTTAACGAGTCCATGCATTGTTATTTGTTTCTTTTGGACTTTTGTAAATTTGAATATACGTTTTAGCATGTTATAAAGCAAATATGAGAATTTAGGTCAAATTGCTGAACGTGAATTTGACAGCTAATGCCCCTCTGAAAAAATTACCTCTATACTTAAATATAACACAAGGTACTCAACTCATCTTATATTTTGGCCTTCTACGAGTGGTTCCCGACCACAGAAATAGGCGTGTTATGCACTATTTTGAAGATAATCTAATGTACATATACGACATAACAAGTTTCAGTGGGATCGACAAAAGCGGAATCAAAATATAACGGAAGTTCGCGACCGAATGTCTTTTCTCAAAAATACCTTGTGTTATATTTAAGTTTATAGGTATATTTTTTCAGAGACAAATGATTGTGCTATTAAATGCCCCTTTACCTTTACAGATGCTGAGTTCGGACAGAGAATAAAAGAAACATTAATGAAAACATCAATTGCAACATTTCTAAATATAATGAACTATAAATATTTTGCCTGATATCTCTTTCTCATATAACTGAAAAATAATATATATTTCCAAAATGTGTCATAATTTCCGTTACAGATCTTATTGTTTTCCTATAAATTTATGTAAACAAATTTTATATAAAATTAATTGACTGATTATGTTTTTGTTCTTGTAACACGACATGGCTTGTCGATTTCATTAAAGATTTTGGTATCAGTGCTTGGCAGATCTTGACTGAAAAACTTCCTTATTTGTCATTAAAAGGCGCCAGCAGAGTTTATCAATTTAGTGCTTGTCAATCAGTGATGTTTGCTGTAAACAATATATACTGATTACTTTTGTGTATATATTAGTAACCAGTGGTACAGTAAATAATTATGTAATAGTTATACACTGAGGGATAGGTGTGTCTGAATAAAAAACCCCGACGGCCGGAGGCCGGAGGGGTTTCTTATCCAGACACACCGTATCCCGAAGTGTATAACTAACTTACACCGGATGCTAAACCCTATATTTTTTTACATTAAATATTAAATGAAAAAGAAGAGATAGCATTTTGTTGACAACATCAAACCATGATTAATAAGAATTTTGTGTTTAAATGAAACCCCACTAGTAACCTTACTTTGATGGTCTTCATTCGAACTTTGACAAGTGAGTAGATTTTACAAATGTCAAAGTTGCCGTTTTGCATATTCCCGTTAAATCCATGTGCTAATATGGATCAGCAGGTCAAGGTTGGCCATATCGTGCATTCTTAATACAAATAAAAAAACATCATGCTCCTGTATGCAGTTGTCAATATGGACGGGTATGAGACGGACGACATTTTGAGTCAGGCGTTGGATTTGGCAGAAGAGTCTAAAGATAACGCAATATAATTTATAACCCATAAAGTTAATCATAAATTTATTTTACATGTAACTTACGGTTTTATAACCCACCCCCTCCCCCCAACCTCTTCTCATCATTAAACAAACAAACATTCATTTCGAACATACTGAGGAATAGGTGTGTCTGGATTAGAAACTGGACGACCGGACACGCTTAACATACAAAAATACAGATTGCATATGTAGGAACCCCCCGTTTTGGGGGCAATCCAAAGTTGGGGGGAGGTTTCCGAGCGTTTGAATCCCCCCTTTTTACGATCATTTCTTTTGAATGGGGACATATTGCTGGAACCCCCCCCCTCCCTTTTTTTATCCTGCGATGGCACCCCCTTTTAAAATGGCTGGATCCGCCCCTGGGTGCCATCATTATCTTCAACAATCCAAACATTAATAAATTAATTTTTATGATTAAGACTTAGTCCAAATGTAAACTATATGTTTTAATGTATAATTTACATAAAAGTTCTTTTTATGTATGTTTTTTAAGACATTGCCATATGGGATTAAAATTGTAGCTTCAAGCTAAGGAGTATTTAAATGATTTTTTTCATTCAAAATAGATGCTAAAGATTTTTTTCGCTATTGGAATTTCCTGAAATATGTTTTTTTAATACGGCTTGAAACAACTTGTAGTGAACACTCGTCTATTCGTAATCTCTTATGTTCATGCTATTAAAAAAACAATTCATATTGTTATGAATAACAATGGACTGTGTTTTCGGGATGTAGAAGCAGGGGTTTCCAGAAACCCCGCTCGTCACACCCTGTGGTCAAAATCCATTGTTATTCGTAACAATTGATCTAGTCAATTTACACTTGTTTCAGAAATAGAAACTGTGAAGTATAACAATAGAACTGGGGTGTAAACTCCAATATACACTGCATTCACCTTGTCCGTCCGTTTGTTCGTCCGTTCGTTCAACAAATATTCCTGTCACACTCTTCCAAGACTTAACAGTGATGAGTTGTAACGTGTGTCTGCTTGTCGAATCTGTCTTACACCTATTTCCTGTTTCATGATTCTCGATACTTTGAACTTTGCAATATGTTGAATGAACGTTAAACATTTTAATTACATTTTTCTAAAGTTCTACAGAAAAGAATGACTTCATATTTAGTCAGCAGCTTGGCAGTGATGTTTGAGCGCTACTCGGGGAGCTGTAAGTCACCCATTTCCTGCACTTCCCATTAATTCCTTCTGACTTACTTCATGTTTAGCTTATCCGATTGAAGCCCAATCATCATATCGACACCAGTTTGAGTTCGCCGTTCGAACTGTGATTAGGTTATGAATTTTGTTGTCGATCTAAAATATTAGATGGTCATATAGTATTTAAAGAAAGTCTACTGAAAAAAAATTGAAATGGTCCAGGTGTAAGTATCTTACCTTTAATTTAGTTTAAACAGATTTTATTGTCCAAAACAGACAAAAGGATCATACACAAGT